TGTTGGGCTATCAACAGCGAAATAAGAAAGATATTGTATTTTGAGAGACGATGACATCTGTCTATTATTATAATAATACCTAACGATAAAATAAATGATTTAGAAAAGTTTTTCTTGTTTAACTGCTTTCCCTATGACTTTTTCTGATTAAAAAAAGCCAATTTTTATGTTTATAAAATATTTTGAATCAAAATATTAAAATATGTACAAAATAAACCATTTTGAACACTCTTTTTTATTATTTATAAAAAAAATATAGTTCTGGCATAAACAATGTTAAATTTTAACTGACTTAATTTTGCGAACGCAACTTTTTTATTTATATAAGTATCTTAAGGTCAGTTTTTTGAGCTAATGTTGCTAATGCACCATTTGAGCGAAAAAAAAAATTTTTAAGGAAAAATTTTCTGTTAGCGAACCCTTTGTTAAGTATTTCGAATATCACCACTGTGTGTAAGCATATAATTATGCTGAGTTCTTTCAGTTTTGTTTTTGCTTTTAAATATACTGTAGTACTAAAGCAGGGGTGGCCAACAGTTTTTGCCCCCGGGCTGGATTGGAAAAACTTTTTCCATGGGCCAAACCAGAGGTTGCCCTAGGAAGATTTTGAGGTGGTGCGAGATCTCATTGTGGTGTCACCCCGTAGAGACTGAATTGTAGACAGAGATTACAGATACATTTCTCACATTATCATGCTTTATCATGATTTGTATGATTTGTAATGGAGGGTTAACTCTAAATGCACAGTGAGTTGTTGACCTTTTTTTTTTTTTAGGCATCGAGCTATTCAGACTTGAGTAGCTAATATTTAAAGATTGATCGCAGGCCACATAAATTCATTAGACAGGCCGGATCTGGCCCGTAGGCCGTATGTTGGCCATGCCTGTACTAAAGTATGAAGTTATCAGGTGACCAAAAAAGTTTACACAGTTTTTGAGGTTATAATTTAAACAAATGTAAAAAGTGAATGAAAATATTTTATTTGTTAAGTAATCATCAACACTTGACCTCTCTCCAACAAGATACAAGTTTGTAAATACCACCCCAAAAAGTCCTGATTGTTAGAGTTGAAGAAATCCTTCAACTTCATTTCCAATTCTCTTGGTTTCAAAACAGTTAATTGCACATACAATTGCCCAGTGCCAAAAAAAGATGATAATCTGATGGTAATGTCTGGTGAATATGGGGGCAAGACAGAATTTCCTAACCAAGGCTTTGGAACTTGTACTGGAACACAGTAAACAACTTGTGAGGTTATGCATTGTCCTAAAAGAACACAATGCCTTTATGATTAACAAGTGTAGACTATTTTTGTAGCAGTGCATCTTGAATCTGTTGTAGTTGTGCTGAATAGATATCTGCAGTGATTGTTTAGCCAGAGGGAAGAAGCTCATAATGAACGATTCTAGCTGTAGTCCACCAGATACACAATAAAGTTTTCCTTTGATGGATATTGGGCTTTGGTATATGGTACAGATTCACTGGATGATAACCAGTGTTTGTGTTATCATACGTAATCCAATTTTTATCACATGTCAATAACTGGTTAATAAAATTGGTTCAATGTCATGAAAGCAGTGATGAGCAGATCATAAGCCTCTCAGCACTCAGTTCATGTGGAACCAATTTGCTCAGCTTTCAGGTTTTTCCTAGATGATGCAAATGCAAACAAATGGTTTCATTACTCACATAACCTTTTTGCAAGCTCATGGGCATATCTAAAACTTTGTCCACATAATTTTCATTAGAATAATGATATTGAAAAAACTACACATACTTTTTGGTTACCTGATATACATAATATTGCCAGTCCAATACTTAGATCAGTATTGGACTGGCAACAGATTTCAGCCTAGGAATATATAAACAGGTATACCTCGGGTTATGTCATTTTGAGTTAAGTCGTTCTCGATTATACGTCATTTGTCAAAAAAATATGTGAAAAAATAAAAACCAAGTTTAATTCATTTTATTCAACTTTACGTCTGTCTGCCACAAATATTGAAGTCATAATATCACTAGAAAAGCATTAAAGCACATAAATCATGTTACTATACAATAAATAAGAATAAAAGTATATAAAATCATATTAAAATACATATGTTTACAGTAAATGTACAGTACATACTGTACATCATAAATCCTAGAGAACGAAATATGAAAACATGTAATTCTATGTTGTCTTATTTAGCGGTCTTTATTGGTAAATTTAATGTAAATTAGTTTATTTTCTACTATCACAAAATTTTAATAACTGTATTTGTTATTTAACCATACAAAATCATTTTATTTTATAATGTCTTAGAGCAAACCACATTAATAAAGAGTCTGCGATGTACTGTAAACATCGCCAAATTGTAAACATGTACAGTACATTTACAAGTATGTTCCTACTGTACATGTATTCGTAAATTTAGATAAATTTTAGTTTTTAATATAGTACAGAAAAAAAAGTAATATGTTTGTAGGCTTAAAATAGATTCTTATTAACCATATATTATTAAAAAAGCATTTATAAATAAAATACAGAACTGAAAATGGCAATTTGTGGTTTAGCCTAGTGACAAGTAAATTTGACTTAAGTTGCCTCTCCTGGAATCGATTACCAACGTAAGGTGAGGTATACTTGTGTAGTTGGCCAAAGTGGCTAAGGCTAAGGCATCAGCTTATCTTTTTGGAGATCCAAGATTGAATCTGGATAATTCAAAAAAAAAAAAAAAAACACCCCAAGAATTTTCTGATGATGATTTGTCTTGGATATGTCATTCCCCATCCCTCACTACCCAACCACAATGACGGACCTGGTTAAATCTATGATGAACTTGAAAAAAGACCTCCTACTGTTTGAAGCAGAAAAAGTCAAAAAAGTAAAAAAAAAAAAATCATGGTAGTCTACAGCCCAAATTGTGACCAGTTAATTTCAAATTAGATGTTACAAAATGCAAATGTGATGGGATGAATGTCAATTTGCATAGACAATTCAAATGGTCAATTCACAAATTTTAAAATGACTGGTTCACATTCAAATCAGAGCCAGTCATTTTAAAATTTCAAGTTTGTCATAAGTTGAACATCTGTTTGTATGAGTCATATTCTAATTCAGGCTGTAAGCTACAGTGATAAGACTTTTAAAATTCAATAAAATAAACAACACTTGTATTTTGTTTATTAATTTAATTTTCTTGAGTAAAATATAACATATATTAAAATAAAGAAAGGCCACTGAGCAAACAGTCCACCAAGAAATTCCTAATATCCTGATGGGCCAGACAGACCACTGTTGACTTTGATATTGTACATTAGAGAAATTTTCATATCTAACTACACTAAAGTAATAGCAATGTAGCATGTAACGACAGAGAGAACTGTCTTTATGTAGTATAATATTTGTGTATACTGTTTTCATTTTGATCAATATTAATAATTCAATGATAGGCATAATGAAATTGTTTTATAAGTAATAAATGTTATATATGCTTAATTGTTTTAACTCACCTGTTGCTGGAGTTTGAAGTAACAAAATTAATGGCCACAAGTTTTCAGGAAACAATGATATCTATATTTAAAAAGAACTACTTTTTAGAGGAAAAACATATGTTCTTATTTTACCATTGAAAAAAGTTTTATTGTTTAATATTAAAACTTCTATAACAATATCCATTCATAAAAATTGTAGTCATTCTTTGAATATATCTGTTTGTTATGCAACTAATAACAAAATAATGCTTTAATAGAATTTAAAATACATCACATATTATAAGTATTAGTACTTTTGGGCCAATAATCCATCTTCAGACACTCTAAAAACTAAAAATTTTAAATGAAACATCATTACTATGGTCAATAATACAATAAAACTTCTCTAACTCGAAGCTCCAAGGGGCAAGAAAAAACTGAGTTACAGACAATTAGAGTTAGAGAACAATAGAGTGAAAAATGCCGATTCTGAATAATTTGTATTTTTATCTCTCTTGCATTATATAAAGAATCTTTGATAGATTTTAGTTTTAAACAGTCTGCACAATGCCTTTCAGTAAAATTTTCAATGTAATTAATGGAATCAAACAGTTTTGCAGGTACATGTTGTTGAGATAAAATGAGAGGACCTCTCTCTTTGGACTGGAATGTTGCAAATGGTTGTTGAACAGTAGATAAAATTAACTGTATGAAAATTTCATGGAAATCCAATAATTAGGATCATTTTGGATAGAATAAATTTTAAAATTTGAATCAGGGAAGTTGAAAGTAACATAAATCAGTGTTAGATCACAAAAACTTTCAACTTGGAGAAAATTTGAGTTAAGGAAATTCAAGTTGGAAACATTAAATTCTTGTTATTTCATTGAAATCTACCAAGTGCTTCATTTTCTCTGAGTTAAAGAAATATTCAAGTTACAGATATTTGAGTTAGAGAATTTTTACTATAGTTTTCCAAGTAATGGTATTTCATTAGAATTTTCAGTTTTTAGTCTATCTTAAGATGAGTTACAGCTTTGAAATTTCTAATATTTTTAATAGGCAACATAGTTTAAATGCCACAAAAGCATTATAGTCATCTCATGTTAATACAAATTGCTTGGAAAACAGTGGGTTTATCAAAAACTTTATCAAAAATTCATATTAATGGTTTTCAGTATCAAGATAATGTAATTTAGGGAGTTAAGGTTTAATAGATTTGTATTTTTACCTCTCTTGCATTATATAAAGCTCTTTGATATCTCTAAATTATATTTTAAATTAATTTACTAAATAAAGTTAAATAAAATTTATTTACGAGCAAAAATTACATCACAATGCCAGGCTGCAATTTTTAATCATATTTTTAACTTATTTAATGTAAAATATATGCTCTCAATCTGGAATTAGTTGTGTCTTGCCCCTGTACATCATACTTTTCTTGCTAACAACAGTTTCATGTCGATCATCCATGTAAATCCGTTCTAGGAAAAATTTTTGAATTGAAATCATGTGACTTCCAGCCTAGACTAGAAATTCATATATAGTTAGTCAGGGCCTCCTGCCCCTATGATTTGCATATCCTCAACTTTCATCTATCTAACACCATTCTTGAAATTAAGAAGGTCAAACAGACAGGCAACAGTGGGAGTTTACAGGTCTACAATTTTTTCAAATTGCAGCCCAAAACAAAATGTTCTAAATGATTTTCAAATCACTATGCACTCCTTGATATGCAAACTATCATGTGTTTGCATGGGACTGCATCCATTTAAAGGGGCTGGTGCTCTTAAACTTTAACCTCTATTTTCTGAGTATAGTAGAATACACTGCTTAAACCAGAAGTTTGAATTGCTCTACAATTAGATTTGCTATCATTTTTATTTGTTGGTGATAAATGGTATATGAATGATTGCCACAGAGCTACGGTTGTTTACTTCTGAAATACTCACCAATTAGTTTATTTTCCCAACCAAAAATACCAAATTGCAGCTATTAATTTTGACAGTAAAGAAAAAAACCTTAACAAAATGAGTTATAGACAAAGCATCAATTTATTAGCAAACAATTACAAAGAACTAGGAATGTTTGTTAAACCAAATAAATTTATCAAAAGAACAAAATGGAGTTTTAACATTTATTCACCACAAAAATCAATAATTCTTATATAGCAATTTCTAAATCCATACTTATACTCACCAATCTGTTACAAAGAAAAAGCTAACCATACCAAATTTGCATTCATTACTCCTCAATTACAAAACTTCACTTCAATCACTGATTGGAAATTTTACATTTTACCAATCCTTTTATAATAGTTTCCTATTTTAAACATTAAAAAAATTACCACTAGATTTGTTAAATTTAATTTGTTAAAAATCATCATAATAGAGAAACCATAAAAACCAACACACTTATATCCAATGCTGAACACTTTCAAGCCTCTTGATTCATCATCAAGGATTAAAACTACAAAATCTGTCTGTTGAAAAATTCCGGTTTGTTAGAATTCTATTAGTTCTAAAAATCAAATTGGTCTTAAACTTTTTGAATTCCAATTATTCCAGCAACTCTGAATTTCAATATTTACTACCTTACAGATTGTGTCCTTTATCTAAACTTTTACTGTATTTTCACAGAATGACTGGCATGCTGGTTTATCCGGAGAAATGTTAGAATGCCAGTTTAAGTGAGGTTATAGTTCAGTCTCTAAAGGATGTATTAAAAAAAAAAAAGAAAGAGTTATGTCATGTAAAAACGAATGAGTTTTTATTCTAAAACTGTGAAACTGTCAATATTAGATCAAAAACTATGATTATATATTTAATTTCTTCATTTTGTCTTCTTTCTAATGATTTAAAATACTCGTGGAATTCCAAAAGTGCTTTTTTATCGTTATTAGATTCAAAAACACAAAAATAAACACATTAAATTTAAGACACTCACTGTAAATTACCTCAGCTTACTCCAATTAACATGGGCTTTGTATGAAATTTGAGAGGAAGGTGTTATTTTTAAGTTCAAGGTAGGTGATCAGTGAAGCTCATACTAACCAACTACTACTACTACTTCTAATGTCAATACGTCGTTAATTGTTTTATTGTCATGTAAACCAAAATGCTCTTTCTGATTTTAAGTCAGCCAAATTACAATGTTGTTATTTTATTGTACTGGGAAGAATGTTTCCTTTAACATTTAATTAACAACTAGTTTTGTTAGATCTGATTAATTTTATATTTTAGTCGGAGTTTAACTGGCATGCTGGTCTCCCCCATTTTTATGCGGCATGCCGATCATTCTGCAAAAATATGGAACTATTAAAGAAAATACTCCACAAGATGGTAAAATACTGGAATTCAGAGTTTGTCAACTTAAACGGTTGTCATTCAAACAGTTTGGGATCAATTTGACTTTTAGAACTAGTAGAATTCCACAAACTGGAATTTTTAAATAAACAGATTTTGTAGTTTTAGTCCCTGATGACGAGGTTTGAAAATGCTCAGCACTATTGTTGGTTTTTTTGTGGTTTCCCATTATAATAATTTTTGACAAATTGTAGTTTTATGGCAAATCATCTAATTTAAGATTTAATGTATCTATAAAAGCTGACTATATGATACGATTACTCATTTGTTCTATATTTGAAGTTTGTTTACATATCATTTGTAATACACATTCAATTATATTTAACATTTTATATTGTGAAAATTATTATTTACAATAATGAAGCAAATGCAAATATTGAATTCTCTAAAGTAAAATTGCAATTGAAATGTAGAATTTTCAATACAATCAATGAAAACTGATAAAGAATGATCAACATCAATCATTTGATAAATTTTAAAAATTTAAAATAAAAGTGATATTGATAATGTTCATTTAAAGAAAATCATTCAAAAGGTTAATAAATTATAATAAATTATTGTAATAATACAGTAAATGATTACTGTATTATATAAAAAAGGATTGTGTTCTTTAAGGTGAGATATGAATAAAGAATATGATACTTAAATTTAGGTTTATTTAATTAAAACAATATACTAAATGTGGACAATGGCTTTATTGTGCTTCAAGATTTTCAGAAGTTTGTGTTTTAGGAATTTCAGGCAACTCATGCAGTTGGAGAATTCAACAATTTTCTTTTATGCTCTAATTCATCTCCCCCCAAAAATTATTTCTTATTCTTGAAAACCAAAGCAGTGTTGAAAGCAAATGATTTAGGGATAAAAATGACATTAATACAATATGAATGAAATAATTGTTGATAAAAAATTTTAATTAATTTTAAAATACAAAGTATTTTCAATAGTTCTATGAACAAGTTTATAAACTTTTAAGACTGCATTAAAAAATTTTAAAATTTTTAATACTATTTAAAGTGATCTCCTCAATAAGCAATACATCAGTGATGACAAATCTATAACCCATGGTTTTGACCTGTGTGACAAATGGACAGACAGATGGACAACAGTGGGAATTTATAGGTCTATAATTTTTTTCAAATTGCAGCCCAAAACGTTTAACAGCTAATAACTCAAGTAATTTTCTCTCTCTTTTATGTGTAAGAAATTTGAAATAATGATGTAAGCCAGACTAAGTTTTAAACAAAGGAAATTTATCCTAAAATGATACTGGAAATTTGAAAATGCAGTCGAAGTGCAAAAATAGCTTAGAAGAGAGTTTCAAACAGATTCACCTAGACAACTTACCATCACTCAAATTAGAGATAAGTTTGAAGCAGATAGAAGTGTTTAGAATATCCATAAGAAATGTTCCACAAGACTGCAGACATCAACAAAGCCCACAAGGCAAGAAAGTATGGAAACATATTGCCAGAGTTCAAGAAAATCTGTGCAGCAAGTGGCTCATAAGGTAGGAATTTAAAAATCAAGTGTTCATTCATTTTGAAGCATTGACATTGGAAAAGTTACATTCCAAGAAGAGTCCATTCTATCAACAATGATGATCCAGACTGGAGATGCAGTGTAACAAGTGGTACTTGGCAAACTTCATTCCATTGCTTTGCATTGCCAGTAGTGCCTGGACCAGAATGGTCATCAGATTGGAACAGATGTTGACAAAAAAATTATGCATTTCTATATTCTTTTAATTTTCAAAAATTAACTGTATGCTAATAAACACTGACTTTATTATCATTCAAAGTGTGTATACATTTTTTTGGGACATCTTGAAGAAATATATATTTAATGGTGGAAATTCATTATTATTATTTTCTAATGCTTAAAACTTTTATTATATTCTACTTTACAGATTTGCATACCAAGAATTTTATAATTTGTAAAAAATATTTTTAAAAAAATATTGAGGTGGTAAAATTTAAAATTTAACAACATTAGTGAACTTACCAATTCAATGTTGTTATTTTGCACAGAGTAAACAAATTTTGATAAAAATTCAGCAATCTCCTTATTTCCATCAGTATAAATCCAAGCTGATATAAACATATTTACAATTTTTTGAAATAGAACTGGATGATGAGCAGCAGTTTCTGGCTATAGGAAAAAAAAACAATTAAAATTAAACAAGTAAGATAAATATATTAATATATATATAGTCCATATCATAAGTGCATAAGGTCATAACATAAAATTTTGAAAGTAATTACTATAAATTTATATCATTCTCTACATTATGTATAGCAAATATTTTCTAAATTATTTAATTTAATTATAATTATTAAATCTAATAAGAGATGGTACCTAATGCCTTCCTCTAGTGACAAATTATTTAGTAATTAATTTAAAATAATCATGATATAATAGCCCAATATAATCCAGTAGTTGTTGTCATAGTCCTCTTTTGGAACTCTTCAGTAGTGCTATAAAATAGCAGTTTTCCAATCAACACTTTTAAAGCATTTTAATTAAATTTTCCAAAACTTTCATTGTTGAGGAAACTCTTTAAAGTAATTTTTAATATCAGTTTAAAATATTTTTCTAAATCAAAAGTTTTTGCAATCTATTAGTAATGTAGACAGATCATGACTGATTTGAATAGTTACATTATTGCCAGAACACAATTATGTATTGTATAAAAATATAACTGTCTTTATTCATATTAAACGTTGAAAATGAATTTAATTTGTTAAGTGCAAACAAAGCTTTATTTTACTCAAATGTCATATATTAATTGTATCTCAACAAATCATTCCTAAACCTTAGCAACAAAGCTTTTGAGCATTTTCCATATACCAACAAAAATTCTCTCTCTGACTTGCTGTGATTTAAGCTTATATGTACAGTTTGGTCCCTCAAGTAAAAAATTCTGGATTACTCTGGTCTACAATAATGTAAATTTAAAAAAAATATTACAATATTATATAAATTAAATACATTTTAAAATTCCATGTAGAATTAACAAAGTATACAGTTTACTAGTGTATTCTTGAAAGATAAATTAGAAGAATGTATGAGATTCATTAGAGCACTCCATGAATTCAGATGAAATTTAAATTTGAATAGATGGAATAATTGATCAAAGACAATCTAAACACTCACAAAGTTACTGACAAAGTTACTAAGAGTTGTAACAGAAGCTATGGAAATTTACAGGACTACCCTCAAAGATGTATGTACGGGTATCCCTCGTATAACACGGTATATACATTATGAAAAAGTGCTGTGTTATGCGAATCTATTCTATACAAAACAAAGCACTAGTGCAAAACATAGAGTTAGGTTCCAGAAAAGTTAACAAAAGTTACTTTTATTATTGTGAATAAAAGTAAGTGAATAACTTACTTTTATTCACAATAATAAAAGTAACTTTTGTTAACTTTTCTGGAACCTAACTCTATGTTTTGCACTAGTGCTTTGTTTTGTATAGAATGGATTCGCATAACACAGCACTTTTTCATAATGTATTTTCATTTAAAATACATTTTTAAATTTTTCATTTAAAATCATTTTTCATTTAAAATAAGTTAATTTCACCCTTCTATGATGACGTGATGATATATCACCAGTTCAGCTTCAGCTGAAACATACAAAATGACAATATTTTGTCATTTTGAAAAATGTTTAATTTTAATCAAAAACACTCTGCATCATTTTTCTAATTTTTTGTCTTAATTTTATCTATTTTTTATTTTTCAAACATAGAAAACACATGCACCAGCCAATTTTTTTCTGTAGTCATTTTATTGTTTTACAATTTTGGTATTTACTGCTTATTGCTTAACGTTGCCAACTGACTAAAATGAAACATCCTACTAACATAAAAGTTTATCGAAGAGAGACAGAAAACTAGTATATATATAGACTGTTCATTATAAAATGATATTGTTCACAAAAAAATAGATAACTATGCATAAATCTTATATCTCATGTACAAAACAATATTCTCTTTCATGCTGGCTTGGTGCCGAAAACAAATAATGAAATCGAACAATTTTATTTTTTGTCAAAGTAAAGTAATTTATAACATCAAAAATTTAGGTCATAATTCAACATTTGTTTTTTTATAAGTAATTTTTACTCTGAACGATTATACGCTATTGTGAGAAAACTACATAAAGTAATAAATATATGTAATTTTTTTTTTGTATCTCTATGATAAAAATTCAATTTTTAATGAATTTTTAAAATAAAATATGTAGAATGATCTTGAGTGACTGTAGTTTGGATTGATGTTTGGAAGGATAAAATACAACCGACCACATTGTAGTAAGAGTTAAACTCATAGTAATTATTAAATGTATTTGATGACATATTCTAACAAACACAAGATGTTCATAACTGATTATTGGAGTTTTAATCTAAACATGTTTTTACCTCAGCTATCATAAATGCTTAATGTAGGACTCTGTAAGATGACACATATCCAATCTATAGTTACATCTATAGTTGTATAATCTAACATTAATGCAACACTAAGCTCATCATGTCTGGTGTAATGGATTCAACAGTCACAACAATTCTATGTCTTAACTCAGGCAGGATGGTAGTTGTAGTGGCAAGTGCACATAATCTTTTATATTTCTCCATAAGAAAAAAAAATCATGTGGGGTGAATTCAGGACACCTTTTCCTTGTGATTTAACATTTTCCCTCATTGTCCTGCCTGCATATAACAGAGGAAAAAACAGCTTTTGTCTGATAGAAAATTTCACATCTGTTCTTTCATTGTATGTGAGAAACACACCTCCATAGTCATTTCTGTATTTATTCCAACCATTGAAACCTCAACAAGTTTTACAAACATCCTATATGTATAATTACAGATATATTACTATTAATTATATTGCATAATATTAACTGTGTTATATTTAGTACATCTAAATATATAAAATTACTCGTCCTGACTGACTGACAGTCACTGATTCATCATCGCCCAGAGCAAACTGCTTCACCTAAAGCAGTGTTTCTCAACGGGGGCGATATCACCCCCATGTGGGCGATTTACCATGTTGAGGGGGCGATTAGTGACAATTTATATTTTGGGGGGGTAAAAAACAATTTTCTGAGCGATATAGTAAAACATTATATTAAGAATAATTAGATATTTTATTCGTTATATCATACAATAATTAAACAAATAACATTATACTAGTCACTAGTCTATTCAATGCAGTACGAATTTGGCATCAGCCTTGGTCCTTGGCCTCGGAATTTTGAAGTGAAGGGGACGATACTATGTTGAAGGGGGCGATGGTTCATTACAGGTTGAGAAACACTGACCTAGAGTTGAAATTTGGTATACAGTTAGGGTATGCCATGGGAATGCACACTAAGAACGGATTTTTTTGAAATTCCCCTGCGGGGTGGAGAGAATTAAGGCTTAACTGGAAGAATGGCTTCTACTGTACTATTTTAGATGCAATTTTTTGTTTTCAACTACGTTTAGTCTTCATTGAGTTCTTAGGTGTATTAAATTGATAACATTTCAGACATTGTTATAAATATTTTTTATCTATTTCAATTTTTTAACAAAATGTTCCAACCGTTTTAAATTCGAATTTGTTATTGCATATTGGTTCGATTATAGAACGATTGTAAACGTTCCAGAAAATTGATCAAATTGAAAATAGTTCGTTTGATTCTCAGCAATTCTCATTATTCTCAGTGGTAGATGTTATATAAAAATTACTATAGTTGTTGAAATACTGAATATAAATGGGGTTTGCTTGCAAAACCTCCGTGGGCGAAGTCGCGGGTAACAGCTAGTTAATTATAAATAAATCACTAATAAATTTTCAAAAGAAACAAAATACATCGATTTCTTAAATCTAATTATTGTTTTAATAAATTAATTATACAGTAGATCCCCTATAAGACGGATTCCTATAATTACAATTCCTATAAGACGGCGAAAAAATTGTGGCGGTATCCGTAAACAACGGTAAAAAAACTCATATAATTACGTAAAACGTCATCGGGCAGCCGAACTACTTTCTGCCGTCCAGCGCCACGTTACGGACAGTTTAGGCAGATAAATTGAGTTTAGTATCGTCTGTACGTATAATTATATATAAATTATATATAAATTAGGTACTGTATATATAATTATATATTAACTTAATTTATTGTAACTTTATTATAATTAAATATATATTTTTCGCCGTCTAGCGTCACGCTACGGCGAGTTAGGCGACCTATCGTCTGTCCAGTACTGTAATTTTATACATTTCTTGTGAAAGAAACATTTCTTATTTAACGGCCATAAAAATTATTTATATTAAGGATGTCTCCAAAGGTCAACGAAGTTTTCGCAGAAAAATAATATCAGAAATCGCGGCCGCGGTTTGATGCGCTGTTCCGCGACGAAACCAAGCTTTAGCAACGGGCGTAGTCGAACGGTACACACTCGGTAAGCAATCCTACAATTTTTTGTTTATAACGTAGTTTATACGGATTATTTTCAAAAAAATATACGTATTTTGGAAATGTTGAGTCAGATTAGTCTAGAATCGATTAATTTTATGGAAGAAAACCTTTCAAACAGCCATAGTCCGTAAACTTCACACGTGTCAGGCTGTGATTGGCTGTGATTCCTACAAAATTGATTCATAAAGAACGGAACATATCTACCGTCTTATAGGGGGATCGACTGTATATATTTTTAATCAGAAAAAGTTATTTTAAAAATGAAGTATTACATACCAATTTATATTCATTCATTTTAACACAGACATTGAACTTTTCTTCTTTCAAAACATTTAAAACTGTTTCTTCTAATAATATTGGATTAAGCAAATAAAGTTTACCAAGAGTTATAGTACTCATATTATTTTTGACAGATAATTCTGTTATAAAGAAAAAATTATTTTAGTTTCAAATATTGAAGTTGCTTTTAATAGTAAAATTTTAGTCCCATAAACAGTTGAAAATATTCTTACCTTTAAAAATATATTTACCAATATAATGAACTGTTTCTTCTATATTTGGTTGCTTCAAATTAATTGCATAAATAATGGAAATTATGGATTCTATAAAATCAGTTGATAACTTTAAAGGCATTTTAATCATAATATTACTCATAGAACATAATATCTGAATAACTTCTGATGGTAACTTCTGTATTTTATCATTACATACATTCTTAGATATATTCAAGACAAGCTAAAATAAATATAAAAACTACATTATATTATGCACTGCTTTTTAGAAAATGAATGTAAATTCTTAAAGCAATTATACTTTAGTGATTGCAACTTGTAAAGTTAAAGGATGAATATAATTCTTCTCTTTCAGAACTGTCAATGGGAAGCAAAAAAGTTTCTTTAACTGGGTCTGAAAAAATTATATACAATAAGCACGGATAAATAGAATAATGAAAATAAAATGTTAAAATGTTAACATTTTAACATTTTATTTCCACCATATCTCCTATTCAAATAAAATCTTTCCTCTGCTTCATAATGATTTTAGATAGTTATTTAATTGAAAAGAGAAAATATATTAAAAATCCAAACTTGCTAAAACAGTTTGGATATGTCATATTTATTCTGGCTAAAACATTTTTCAAGAGAGCAACATCTCATCAAATTCCAAATTGTAAATAGTATTTGAACAAAAATAATTCAAAAGGTTTGTGTTCAAATTCCATTTACAAGTTGGATCTTATCTTATTATCTCAAAAAACATTTTCCTGAATATATAAGATTCCTTAAATCATTTTAACAGGTTTGAATCCTTACTTGCTTAATTGTGGAGTTGCTAAAGTTTAGATACTAAATTTTTAATTAATGTTTTCAAGTATAGAATTTAAAAATTTTTGAGAAGCATTACTTTAATAATTCTAATTGTCATCAAAACTTCTATGACGATCAAAAATCTACAGTTCAAAGCAATTTTTTTTTTAGCATAATCTAATATTCATGCTTTTTCTATCAATAATTTATTTTAATTTAACAGAAATAATAAAGCAGACAAATTTTTCTGAGTCCATTCCAGTCACTTATTTAGTCTAGTTATCTTTGGAGATTAAAGCATTAAAAAACATACAAATTTACTACATTATAAAATAAGTTGAAATCATATGTTTTAAATACAAAATTGTAATCAAAACAGTCTTCTGAGCCACTGCAACTAACTTTGACATTGTTTCTGTATTTTTTCTAGACTTCAAATAAATGGAAACTGCAATGAAACAATAAGTGGGGATACAATTCCAAAAATATAGTATGTTATTTTTAAATCCAGATGAAGTATTCTTCTGCTAATGTTTTTCAGTAAATTTTACAATATAGTAAATAAATTAATGGAATCATTATAGAATGTCCTGAGCAAATGTCCATTTAATGAGAATTAGTACAATGTCCATTAGAGAATGAAAGAGAGAGGGGGCAGATTTCTTAAAAATATAAAAACTTCTCAAAATTTTTAAGCTGGAAAATATAATAATATTTAATATGTGCAGTAAATTAGTACAAAACATATTATAGATATTAATTTCATTTATATTTTTAAATGCTGTTTTACCAATTGTATATCAATATACTTGTTTGATTACTATAATGAATTTAGAAATTTCTATCATGATTGAATGCATTAAACAATCTAATTGTAAAATGTCAATTGAAGATATATACAGGTGTTTCTTACTTCAATTACTCATTATGGTAAAAATATAAAATTACAATACAATAAAGCAGCTTGTAGCAGGTAAAATAATCCACACAAAATATTAAATTCTATTTTATAAAATTACCAAATTGAATTGTTTTGTTTAGCTTAAATTTTAGCACATAGAATACAAGGTCTGTTCAAAAAGTATCGGACCTTTGGTCGGCAAAAATAAATTTATTGACTTTGAGGAACAAAACCCTAATCCCCTTCAAAGTAGTCTCCTTGGTAATGTATACACTTCTCCCAGCGTTTCTGCCATTGCTGGAAACACTGCTGGAACGCATCTTTTGGAATGGTTATCAGCCGGTCCGTCGCATTTCGCACGATGTCTTCTCTCGACTAAATTTGGGTTCCTTTTAGCGGCATTTTCAGCTTGAGAAATAGCCAAAGGTCACACGGAGCCATGTGGAGAGAGTACGGAGCGTGACGAACCACAGGAGTATTGTGTTTGGCGACGAAAGCCCGAATCAGATGCGCAGAATGGGCGGATGCGTTATCACGATGGAGCTGCCAAGTTTTGATCGACCACAGATCCCATCGTTTGCATCGCACTGTATCGGAAAGACGACGAAGGACCTCCTGGTAGTACTCCTTTGGGATGGTTTGGCCTTGTGGTGCGTACTCACGACACACCACCCCACGAGAGTCGAAAAAACTGTCAACATGACCTTTGATATTGCTGCGGACCTGCCGCGCTTTTTTTGGCCTCGAGGATCGTCCCCGAAAGCCTGCTGAATCTTGCGAATGGTTTACACTCGGGTATCGCCAAGGTTTTTGGCAAAATTTGATGTAATATCGCTGCTCACGTTGTTCAGTCATTTTCCAGCTTAGTGAAATCCGACGAGAGCGCACTACATGACCTCACTCATACGCCGATTGCCAACGACTGACGCTTTCTGCAGGCGGGAAAAAATTCAGGGCTGTGCATGACTGTCCCCTCCACAACTCCACCGAAGGAGGCCTCTCTCGCATCATTGGTTTACGCGGAAAAAAATAAGGTCCGATACTTTTTGAACAGACCTTGTACATTTATCCAATTTACAGAGTTCTCTAGACTAATGTAAAAGGAATGATCCCATTGGTAACATATGCAAAAAACTTGATAATTAGTTTAACTATCAAATGAATAACTGGATTCTTTATCAGCTAAAGTAAATAATTAATTAGCTTTAAGTAACCTGATAAAGAATCCAACTGTTCATTTGATATTTAAATTCAGCCTGTTAAATCTGGAATCTGTAAATAGAAACTCAATAAATCAAGAAGTTAGTAAATATCATTTTTAAATTTCTAATGATCTTTTAAAAAACTTTTTGTTTAAAATATAAAATAAGAAATAGGAATATTAAAACTTTTACAAATTACTTTTATTTGGTATTCATTATATTTGTAATTCAAATATTTCAAATTAATGTGTGCTCTATTTCTTGCACTCCACTGTTATTTAGTTCAAATACATTATTTCAAATGTATATGTTTGTATATTAATATTATACTGATTTTCATTACTATGGAGACCTGATCTGTGTACGATTGAAAGAACTTATCACATAAAATTATATATTCTACTAGTTCAAGGATGAATATATATAGTATAATTCATTAACTAGTTTATGTCAGCTGAATTTTCTAAAATAAAATTTTAATATTAATATAAAAAGTTAAAATTCATAATAATTATTTCACAAATGTTTATTACTTGTTATATTATTTTCAAAGGATTTTTAAATTAAAAGAAACCAATTACTTATTGTGACATCATCACAATGCTGGGCAATTTTTAACTATATATTAATTTTTTTTAAATAAAATACAATAGATGACTTTAGGTCCAGATTTGAAGTTCATACATAATTAATGGAGTCCTCTGTAACCTAAGTTTTCCTTATCTGGCCTCAATTTCCATTCTTGAGATTAAGGAAGGATGGATAGATGACAGTGGGAATGATGGAATGAATATTTTCCAGTAGCCCATCAGGGAAATAATTATTTCAAATTATTGGAAGTAAACTTGTTTTATATGAAAAAATTTTATAATAGTAGAAACAAAGCATTTCATATGACCACTTATCATTATTTTTTAATTAATTTGCTAATTGAGGTATCAAATTTATTTCCAAAAATTAAATTATTATAGCCTGATGTAATCTAACAACATTTGGTGTTAAACTAAAATAATGGGCTATTTATATTTGTTTTAAATATATTGGTTATTGTTATCGCTCTTAACAAGTGCTTTAAATATCATCTAAAACCTGATAGTTATGTATTAATATAGTAGTAGTAATATAGTCCAGCAATCATTTGACTTTAGTGCTTTAAATGTTAAACATTTTAATCATTACTTACAATATACAGTGGACTCTGTAAAATGCACTCTCTTATAATGTGAATTCATTTAATGTGACAGAAAAATTGTGGCTTATACTCATACAAAATTCTAATTTTGTCATCCAGATGTATGATTTCTTCTTCAACTTCTAGCTCTAGATTTAAACTTACATAAAATTGTCCGATAATGTATGTCTCGATAACACAATTTCCTATAACATGAAACGTATCCCCCCCATGTTGTACAGGACTCCACTGTAATAGTTTCAATTCTTGGCATGTTTTACTTCATTTATATATTGTATAAATTACTATTAATTAATAATTATAATTAAAAAATATTTATTAAAGTTTTATTAATTGTTTTAACATATCCCTTTAATGTCAGAGTCAATTAACCAGAACTTCACTAACTGAAGTTTTATTTACTTAACTTGCTTAATGTTATAAGTCAAAACATTATTGTCTTCATTGAAGTAAGTCCTAAACTGATTAAAATATATGAATTTCATTGTATTTAAATTAAAATATTAAAATAGAATAATTTTATTTTTCTATATTTTTATATTTATCAGCTTAATTTTTTTAAATGCATTTTAAAAAAAATTGAGTAAAAGTACCTTCTTTATATATTCAGAGATTATCTTAAACTTAAAATTTTTTTTTGTTTTTTTGAGGAATGCCTAACTATTATTTTGAAGTTAGCATTATTATTATACGTTATTTGATATGATATTGCAGTTACTCAATTTTAAGGCATTTTTACTTTTCCAAAGTAAAATTGTGTCTCAGAACCAATGACGTCAAACTTCGAAACAACAATCAAAAGTCATCACAAGTAGACCAATTAGTAATAATAGATATTTTAAATGTACTGCTCAATGTTCACATCAATTCAAGTGAACTTTGTTAGTAATAAGCATTTAATTTAAATTCCTTTTTAACATTTAAAGCACATTTCAAGATGACTTTATAATGCAGCATTAAAAGTAAAGTTATTTTATTTATAAAAAAGCATGAAAATAAAGTTCCTCAACATTATCTGTTTCATAACATTTGTATTGTCTTTCTAAGTTGTCATTACTTAGCAAACATTTAATAAAACTGATTATTGAAAAAATTTTCCCACCATAAAGTATCTTAAAATCAAGAAAATTCAGTTAGTTTTGTAAGAACAGCAGTTATTTATTTTTTATTTTAGCTTTATATTTTCTTCAAAAATCACAACCATTCATAGAAATATAAAGAAATTAGTTCATTATTTAGTAGTATATTGTATATTATAATGGAATAAAAAAACAGTTACAGTGTTTTAAACAATGAAATGAAAATGATACTTTTCTGCTTCATCACTGAATTGCAAGAAAGTGGCACAAAAAAAGCTACAAACTGAATCATATAATGAACTAAATGACGTTTGGTTAAAATGTGTAAACACTTTTAAAGTATCAATTAAAAAAAGGACAAAATGTGAGAGTCAAAATAAAATTAAAAGATAAATAACAGTACCTAATAGAAAAAAAACAAAGATTCTTATAACATATTACAAAAACATCAAAAAAATATAATAAACTATTTAATTAAAAGAATTTCAATGATCATATTTAGAATTTAAAATTTTTTAAATGAGATATACAGTAGAATTTACTTATTTTAATCACTTTGAAATTTGCCTGTATTGATCATAACTGATAACATTAAATGAGATTAAGTTAGTAAATAAGACTACAATTAGTGGAAATTCTGATTTTATGACTGTGACATTAAAAAGACATACATTTTATAACTATTTCAGCATAAATTATTATTATTATTATTTAATAATAATAATTAATCCAGTTTGTCCAAAATTTTTTTTTACTAACACTTCTAACAGCATCTAGCAAATAACTGAAATTCCACCAATTTAAACTACTGAACTAGAAGTAATAAACAATTACAACTTAAAAGTCTAGTTAATATTCATAATGAATATGTATTATCAGTCACATGTTACGACTGATAAAAAAAAAGTTTAAAAAAATGCCTATTTACCTAAAGATAATGATAATTATAACTAAAATTATTATTACAATAAAAGTTTCTATAAGTATATTTTAATCATATATTTCTTAACACGCTAATTCAGATAACTGATGATAATATCTACAAATAAAGCAAGCAATTCTATTATCAATTACACATTTAAGAAATTTTTTAAATTAATTGCAATACTTACAACAGACCATGCTTTACTTTTTTCTTGAAATTTCAAACTATCTAACTTTTCAGATTTATGTAATCTCAATAAAAATTCCAGCAACACTAGTAGTTTCTCCTTTTCCATTAATCCAATATATGGTTGAGATGTTAAACTTGCTATCATCTGAGTATCATTTGACTGCAGCTGATTAAACTGTCCTGACAAGCACTAAATGAATAAATAAATAGTATTTTAATTATCTTAAATACAATAATTAATTTTAAAAACATCAATTAAATAACACACAACACATAATAAAACAAGTAAAAAACTAATATATAATATATATTATATATATTAATAATATATATAAACTATTATAATATATATATAATAATATATATATATACAACAGAATTTTTATAACATGATTTGTACAGTGTAAATTTATCCTGTATCTCAATTTCCAGTATAATGATACAAATTTATTTCATAGAATTAATTCCATCTCTTTTTGTGTAAGATAAATTTGTACAATATATACACTCTCCTTTATAGTAATTTCCAATCAGAATTCTTGTAAAATGCTTTCATAACTTCAACTTGTATATGAACATTTAACAATATAGTAGTTCATATACATGTATATATATATAAACAATGCTTCAAAAAGCAGTTATTTTTATAAATTTAACTTCCTTTGAAAAATTTTAAATAATAATTCATTATTTAATTGTCAAATTTGTTACAAGTTGCTAAGTTTAGCTGGCTTAGTCAAGACTATTAGTTTATTTCATAACGATTGGCATTTTGAATCAGTTATCCAGTAAGTTTTTTCACTTTTGATGCTGATAAAAATAACTTAAATTACAATATTAAACAATTTATTTTATTCTTAGTTAAAAATAAGATAATTATAATAAAAGCTTCACTATCTAGCAACTAAATAAAAAATACTGATGCCAACACATTTCCAACTGATATCACTTAAATTCTAAATGATGAAAGTATTTCTGAATTAATTCATAATTTTATAAAATATTCAGAATGAATAAATCAGAATGATGTTTATGAAACTTCCTATTTTATTATAGGAAGTTTCATAAACATCTTTTAAGGTACAAATGCAGCTTTGAATGAGGCAGTTAGGACATTATTAGCATTGTGGATATGCCTTTCAAGTAATGTGAGAAAATATAAATATCCTCATGCTTTTGCTTCAAACTACCATATATAGAAAAGTTAAAACTTCACATCAGGTGGGCCCCAATTTTTAACCACTTCCAACAATCGACCATAAAATCCGTGCATAATTAGTTAATCCGAGCAGGTTTAGCCAAGTCATCTTCACGCGAAGTATCGCAAGACAACCCCCATTCTCAATGACACGAGAGAATAACATGTCACCTCACTTGCGGCAACAGGAAAAATTATTACACAACACCCTTCTAGTAGTCGACTGCATAGCGAGACATCGTCGGGTCTTTAGAAGATAACAAAGGCTCTTCATTTCAGGCGTACACTTTCTACAGAATGCCTTTTATCAAGCCTGCTTATCCTTTCACGGTCACCACATTCGTCGGGCTTTCAGCAAAGGAAAACCCAGCCATCAACTGCCACAAACAATCGTGTGACCCACCTTTCGAACAGCTGTGATTATTTTTTTATATAACGTAAACAAAGGTCTAATTAAAAAAAAATGTCTTTTTCCCTTGACAACTATAGAACAAACTTTATTTTCATATACAAATTTTGCTTTTTGCATTACCACACATTGTAATAAAAAATATCAAAGATCAAAACAGCTTTACTTTCCATCCTATATCCTTACAAATGATGAGAAATTAACTAAAATAGAGTCGATCCCCCTATAACACTGTTGATTATTCCGTTTTATATAAATTCCATGTTGTACGAGTCACTTAGATTTTACAAATACTTGTGCCGGGCTGTGAACGGCTCACATATTTGTAAAATCTAAGTGACTCGTACAACATGGAATTTATATAAAACGGAATAATCAACAGTGTTATAGGGGGTCGACTGTATCCCTTATCAAAAGAGAAATTGTATGTACAAATCACCTTATTGTATATAGATAAAACACCAAAAATATGCTCAATATTTTTCTATACATTCTTAAATAAGATAAAGAGACATAAAAAGCCAACATAAAATTTAAATTAATAAAACAGTTATTATTATTGAGTGAATGAACGAAAACATTTGCTTACCAAATTTTCTATACTTGTCAAATCGACTGGGCATTTACTTATAGCATTAATATCACTTATAAACGTTTCTTCATCCGATACCTTCGAATCAAGCATGCAAAGCATGGAAGCATGCTCTGTGCAAATACATTTACACGTGTGATTAGATACGTTTACATGTGCAATATGATGGCACGTGCAAATACGTTTGCACGTGCCATCATATTTAATTTCTTCGTCCTCCAAATGTCTTTTCAACCCTCCCGACGACGTGCTCGGCTTACATTCCATCACGTTTAACTCATAATTAGCTAAAAATACACTTCGTATTTCTCCATCCTCTCAGTATCACTTCCCTCCATATTTACTCGTAATCCGCCCTCTAGCGAGTGGATCGATAATTAAAAAAATTAAATACGAAAATTTTGCCTTCGAATGTTAATTTCATAAATTTAAATCGGATCATATCCATTTACAGAATAATAATTTTCATTTCGTTTATCGATAATTTGCTGGCTTACGGAAAATTTCGTCTGTCACGTGACGCGCACTCCCGTATTTAAATACCGTATTTTAAAAGTTTTTTTTTTCCGGCTGTTTATAAGCGACGATTCGAAAGGAGGGAAAAAAATAAACGAACGAAAATTGCGTATCAATTTCCAAAAAGAGTAAGTTAGTAAGAAGAAGAAGATTTCGACATTGGATAAAGTTTGAATCTGTCAAGCATCTAGAAACGTAATCTGCAAATAATATACCTAAAAAGAGAAGCTAAAAACTTCTCTTACCTCAAAAAGGGATGAAACCTGTGCCAAGGGGTTCGATACCATACGGTGGCGCACAATAGAGTAATCAATTGGCCATCAATCAATTGATTCTCACACTAGATCTCCCCCTCACTTTCCGCTCTGTTTATACTTTGTAGATGTAGTTATTTCGTTTCAATACTTCCCGTTCTTTGCTAATCGTTACATTACAAATTGATGAATAAATTCCCCCTCCTGTTTATACAGCTATATATATTTTCTCTTTATTTCTTCACCATTTTTCTAAAAAAAAAAAAAAAATACTTTATTTCATTTGTTTTAAAGTCAGTAAAGTGAGTACAGGTTTGTTTTAAAACCTTATAAACTGAATTAATTACAATCGTTTAACTAAAATTTTAAAAATAAATAATTTAAAAACGCTTTTATTCTAGTATAGTTTAAATTTTTACTTCATTTTGACGTCACTCCCGTGTTTTTTTATAATTGGAAAGTACGTAATGACGTCAAATTGACGTAATATTTTCGGGTTGTATTCGAAGTAACAACGCTAACGTATAGAAATGTAAAGTTTTCAAGTTAAAAAGTAAAGATTATTTTAAAAAAGATAATAGAATACAAATATTTATTATTATTTTCTTGAGGTACACCTATGTCACCAAACTAAGCAAGAGTATTTTGATGATGAGTTTTCGCTTCTTTCAATTTTTCTTCTTTTCAAGTAAATTTCACTGTTAGTTGAATTTGAAAAAGATTCTATTTTTTGTAGATCTTTTTTCTTTTTCTTTTTTTTTTTAAATTATCTCTCCTGTCCGTTGAAATGATCCTCCTAAATCGATAAGTAAAATATACTTCAATTTTTTATCTTTTCTCAGCTGATATTCCGTCCGATTGGTCTCGATGTGTGGCGCCTCTAGTGGTCATTGTTCGAAACACTATTCTGTGCCGGGTGTGATAGAGCCATCCAAACGAGGATTTTTTTTTCTTCTTTTTCTTATTCTTTTCTTTAAAATTACACTACCGCATTTTTTGCTTCGTCGATGTCTTATGTTATCTTCTGTCATTCGAGTCGGCAATCTCCCATTATGTTCTAATCTCGCCAGTTTTGTGCTTTAAACCAAACAGCTTTCGCCACTTTTAAGATGAATGACAATTCGTCAAATATTTCAACGTTTTCCACTGGAAAAGAACTACCTTTAATAAGAATTAAACTTATCTTTGTGTCACGCGACTAGATTCCTCCATACTTCCGCAATTTAATTTAATAAAAATGGCGAAAATTATATTAGTAAAAATTTCATTTTCTTTAAAAAAAATAAAATTAGTGAAAAAAAAATTTTGTTAAAACTGTTTAGATATGAAAAACAAACGCAAAAGTAGAATAAATATAATTTTTTAATGTCAGAAACTTTCCGCTACATCCTCAAAAGAGGAGATTACCTTGGCCATTAATTGTTCAATTCCATTTCCTGGTTCCGGATTTCCGAGCTGGAGAAAAAATCAAATTAGAAAAAAATCCGATGAATATAAAGTGAGTGATGAATATAGAGTGTGACGGAATGGTAACATCATTTCTGGATGAAGAGCCGTAAACGGAAACTTGCAGATATACCAAGACAATTGTAACCGCCCATAGCGAAAAAAACCTGAAACGGAAACCGAAAACGCGCTTGTATGAAATAAAGGATAGATGAGGGGTAAAAAAGGAGTGGAAAAGGGAAGGAAAAAAAAAATAGCGTAACGATCGAAGAGTAGAAAGAAAACCGAGTCGAGCTCATTTTCCGGGTTTTTCTGCGCCGTTTTCAGATACATTTCAGGTATATCGGAATTTCCGCCAACAAAACAACTTTAACAGTGGCTCTCATAGAGGAGCCGATCTAGAATCGTCTGTCATTAGCAACAACGGAAACCAGAAAAAGAAGAAGCGGGAAAAAAGACAGAAAGAGGCATGCAAACGAGATCCCCCCTTCATCCTCCCCATCTAATACACATAAAACGGACTCCCCCAAGCTCTCTATATAGCCAAGATACGACCTTTTTACAATCATTTCTTCCCCCCCTCTGTCGACTGCTGCAAAAACCCGTCGACTTTTTCACTCCCTAATCAACGTTCATCTTCGCAGTGCCGGATGCATCTCATTCGTGTTATCTCTCACAAGTGCGAGTTAGACTGAAGGAAAAGACTCTAATGAACCGTGAGCTCGTAATCTCGATGCTGGCAGCCTAAATGAAACAATGTATAAAGATCCAAGCCGCAGCCAAGCCCAGTGTAAGGTTTATCTTTCCGCCGAACGGGGGGAGAGTATTTACGCGTAATTTACTCTGAAAGTGTCTCGTCCCCCGTTCTCCGTAGCAGTGTGACCCCCTTCGTCCCCCTCGGACGGTAAGACAATGAAACTTATTGATTGTGACACCGGCCTCGCTCCACACGACAATTAGAGGAGTTATAATCTAAGTTTCGCTGCACAGTCGGAGCGGGATGCCCGTTTTACACGGGAGCAACCTTGGCAACACTGCGCGTGGCCAACTTTCTCGGAGTGCACGATTTTCGCAACTATCTATCTTTTTTAAATATTTGAACTTATTCGACTGGAAGGGAGATATACAAAAAGTGATTTTTTTTTCTTTGCTCTGATGTAGATTCTCGACCCCTTCTTGGATATTTTTATCTGGTTTCAATGGTCTTTTGTCCCTCCCCGCAACAACTATATCTACAATTCGTTCTTCTCTTTCAGGCTCTATCGCTTGGAGTAGATTTGGGAGAAACCCCTGATTCCATTAGTCAAATCTAAATGTCTCTAGGGGCGATCGGTTTTAAATGCAGTTGAATTCATCCGAAGAATAAAAATATCTCTTTCAATATTTGTATATAAAGAAAGTCGACTTTTTCATATTCATATTCGTGTTATACCCCTTAATATGGGAACTTATCATCTTAATAATAGCCCTTATGGGTATTTGCATATCTCGACTGATACTCGAACAAGTCTATCATTTATCTAAGTGATAAAAAAAGAAGAAGAAGAAGAAGCGAAATTAGTCACTCTTCTCACTCTTTCATTACCTTAAAATTTTAAATTATATTTATCTGGAGTACGCTTAAGACAATTTTAAATTGACGTTTTAAAACTAGTAAATTGGCCTAATTAATTTTTAATTATAGAAAATTTGAGTTGAATTATGATAAAACTTGACTTTAAAAAAACGTTTAAAGTGTGAAAAGATGTTTAAATATCTTCCATGTGCGTTGGACTCTTAATGTAGTGTCTTCTAATACAGTTGATCCTTGTTATCTTTACGTATATAGTGAATTCTTAATAAAGTTAATGATTATCTCAGTCCATTGAGTGTTCACTGTATAAAATTTACGTGTAATAAATACATATCTTATATAATATTTTCACGTACTTTATCCTCGACATATGGAAACTCTCATTCCACATGCTCTGAACTTGCATAAGTGACAAAATTGGAAATTTATCTCTTCTTCCAACCTCTATAAGCAGTCAAATTAAACAAATAGAGCACTTAGCAGTACAAATATAATTTTTTTATCACATATAATTGGTAAATTAATATAAAATATTCTATACATATCACTTAAAAATTAATTTTAAAAATCTCTTATAGTTTTTTTTATATTTTATTATTTAAAAACACTTAAATACGATTATATTTTAATTTTATTTTTCTAATTTAATTAATTAAATAATTTATAATGATTATAATTTATATAAATTTCTACATTAATTTATATTTTGTATAACAGATGGCAGCACAGGATTTGATTTCGATTTTATCGCACGCTCTCGATGTTTTTATCTTTTTATATATTTTAAAAATGTTAACATATGTAAAAGAGTAATTAATATTTAAATAAGCTGTTTAAAATTTATTTTATTAATTATAATTTTTAATTTAATTTCCGATAGTTAAAATTAATTAAATATTTAGAAGTTGAAATAATTTTTTTTTAAATTAAAAAAGAAAAAAATAAATAAAAAATATCCGATTTTCGAAAATTTACGTCATCGTTATTAAACCAATAAGATTAGAGCGTGTATGAATGACCAATGAGAGGACGTATAAATGATTAAACAAATTTATTGGACCAATCTGTAATCCGATTAACAAAATTAAAAAAAAATTCGAATCGATGATTGGTTGCTTAATTTAATTTTTTTANAATTGTGTGGCACCATCTGTTATGAGATCATATTTTTAAAAAAATATATTATTAAATTAAATTAAAATTATTACTTTTATATACCAAAATTATTTAAAAATAAATGGAAATTTTAAATATAATTTAATCTTATATAAATTTTTAAGAAATGAAATAAAATAGAAAATTTTAAGAGCTTCAATTGAAAGTAATAAATTAAACGTCGAAGCTAATTAATGCAAATTTAATCAGATTTAATTATGAAATGACTGATTGTGCAAAGGAAATCAAAAAAGCCGGTCACTGTAATTGTCATGAGAAGGTAGAACATGTGTTATTTCATTAAAGCGAAACGTTTGTTGCCAACAGCCAAGGATTTATTATGCTCTAAAGGGAACTTAGCTATAGAGCAGCGTTTCTCAAACTTTTTTGATTGC